CACACTATCGGTTTCAATGTAAGTCTCGCTCAAACTTTTCGGCCCGTTAAGACCGAATGTCCCTTCCAAGGGACATTTTCTTCATGCTATCACTATGTATCAACAGGTAACTTAAAAATTTAGGGAACAATTTCATTCGGTAGCTTGCCCTTGTGCCTCTCAGAAAAGCCAAAATTCATGCTAATTCACGCTATATTTACGAAAAGGCATACATTGCAAAATACAAAATTGCATTTAAAAAATTCATGCATTTTCCAAAACCTGCTGCGTCCCCTGGCAGTCGATTTTAAGAAATTTCTTTTTCACTCTATACTCTATTAGGTCATCAAAGTCCAAAAAAATATTGGTCCATGCCTCAACGATTTTTTTACGTCTCCTATAGCGTTTTTCCAAATGTCCCTTGGAAGGGACATTCGGCTCTTAAGGGTTAAGTAAAGGAGCTTAAAAGAAATAGGAACGGCAATACCGAAGATGTAAACATAAAAATTGAGCGGAACACCAATTTCTGATTTTCACATTTTCATATATGATTAAAACAATTCTAAGGTATACCTAGAAAATAATAGTCACATATTTCGCATACTAAGAATAATTTGTTTTCTTATTTGATTCTTGAGACTTCCTCTCTTAGGTATTTCAAATGTGCATCATTATACACATGAATCAATTATTGTGTAAAGGCTATATTTTTTTCCATCTATCTGAAGATAAAATAAAACAACAGATATGGCTAATACTTTTCCATCACAACTGAATGTGTCATTTTAGAATTATAGAATATGATCAGAATTATAATAAAATAAAGAATTTCTTTTTGTTTTTATAGTCTAAATGCAACTGCGATCTTTATTTCTGATATGCTGTTTTATAGTATGATAAGCACTAAATTTCATATACAGTTTTAAGAGAAAACATGAACTACTGATAAATAAAAATTATACAATTGATTGTCTCTAAGAAAGTCAATAGTAACAGCTGGTAAAGTTTATTTTTGGTTCGAAATTAGTGTTGTATATTATGCGCTTAAGATTATACACATTTCTATCGGCATTGTCGAATATTGATGTACTTTTTTATCATAAGAAGATTAACTCGTTCGAGACTCAATTTTTCATTTCTTATTTCAATATTAGTTCTTATAGGCGTTTGAATTATTTTTTGTTGTGTTTTTTTGCTGGCATTTTGTTTCAAAATACAATAGTAGAGCTTCTATAAATTGCTTTTTCGCCTTAAATATTTTTTCAATAATTTAAAAATATTACAACATATGATCCAACTTATATAGCACGTAATTTTTCACATGTTTTGGCAAAAAACATCTACTTTGTACTTCGATTTTCTCTGGTGAGCTTAAACTACTTCGTATCATTGTCTAAAATCTAATCATGCTCTCAATTAGAAAAAGTAAAATATCAAATCGTCAGATTGAAAATCGAAAATTCTCAATGAATTTGCGAATTCGGTTTCTCTTGATATATCTAATCGTATCTGCAAGTCACTATAGAACGCTTTGACTAATTAAAGTACATTTTTATTCTATCTGATCATATTTGGTATTGTTTGATTCGTCATGAAATGTATTACGAACAATTAATAAGTAGAGAAGCTTCCGTTATCAATAACACATTTATTTGAGCTGAATATATCAATTTCACGCATATATAGAAACAGAATTTCAATTATTAATAATAGAAAAACATATATTGTTTTTTTTTATTTTTTCCTATATCTGAGATAATTTCTAGTAAAAATTACTCTTGTAATCCTATTAGAATTTGATCAATGGAAACTATTAATATCGGACAATTCAAATGCATTAGTACTTGAGTTCTGCTGAATCCAATCATATATGAACTTTTTATTCTAAATAAAATTACCGTCAACTATATATTCATAACAATGACATTAAATAAAATAAATAATACAACATGATATACTAATCAAAAACTACTTATCTTGCACAAACCATGTTTCTTCTTTCTTATTTTGGAGGAAGGCTTGTGGTTTAATATTCAAGGTGGTAAAAATAAAATAGAAAACTTATTATTGTTGGCTAAGATGACGATGCTCACTTGATCCATTGAAAAATTCGTCATCCCCTTATCAGTAATAATCTGATGATCTTCAATATTGTAGATACTAATTCGATGCACCTTATTACTTGATATTCAAAAAAAATAGATTAAATATGATACAATTCATTCTTTAGATTTCAAAAAGGAATATTCTCATAAAAAAGTCGCTTTCTTGTGAAAAAAAGATTATTTTATTTTTTGCAATTGAAAAAATAAACAATAAAAATATTACATTTTCGTTTTTGGAAACTTGATAAAGAAAACATGTCCACACTCTAGTCATTTTTTTGTATGTAATAAAAGTTAACTAAATATTACATTATTATTTTACAAGAGACACAAAACGGATACGATTACAAGCTATAAAACTGTTTTTTCTGTAAAAATAGCCAATTTTACTTGATAATTCAAAAAAATGTCGATATAAATATGACATATGATTTCACATTTGAAAATATTAGAAGGAAAATCATATAACTCATGTAACACATTCATCAAAACTAGTATGTTTAAATTATCGTTTTCTTTTTATGAAAAGATCAAATCGTTAAACTTTGGATTCGAAAGACATAAAGTCAATATCACGTAACCGGTTTTCTTTTGATGGAAATATTGAACTGGAAAAAACGTATTTCCTTCAAAAAACTTTATTTTACTCGCTATCTCCTATGTAAAATTTTCTTAACGATTTAACGAAAAAAGATGTCACCTTTTTGATCATGAAGATGCATTAATATATCTATTGTAACGAAGTATCACGAATTACATATATTTTACTTTAGTTTCATTAACATCAATATTCTAACGCGCTTTTTATCAAGAATGCAAAATATTTTTTCATTAAATTGTTAAATTTAAAAAAATTTGCATGGGAATTAGAAAAAAACGAAAAAACAACGTTACCTGGTTATTTTTAATTTCAGATTGAACAACAAATAAACTCAACATTATATGACTAAATTGATTGATTTCACGGGATGAATAGCTTTAAATTACAGATTTTCTTACATAAAAGAATCTATCGATTCATTTAGCACTTCAAAAAAAAAGCATAAACAGAGTATCATGCAGATATTTAAACTAAATGTTTTAGGGCATCTATCATTCTTTGGTCTGATACTTTTAATAATGAAAGATTTACATTTGTTTTGATACGCATATATATTTTTTCTCATTGAATGCTAAGGTGTTTTGTTATTGTTGTAGATATTCATGTAAGCAGAACGTTGTATAATCCATTTATCATGTTTTCGTTCACCACTGTTTCTAATAAAACCAATCTGCTCTACTGTTACCTGCAGTAGATTAATAAAGAATCGAAAGAGAAAAACTTCACACGTTTCAAATCTGTTTGTTGACTAGCATATACCTGTCGTAATAATCATATATTGACTTGTATACACATAAATGAATATGAGTCTACATTACTTAAAATTGAAACAGAAAAGTTTAGTTTGTAGCGTTATATATATGGCACATTCTCATCTTCTAGGGTTTTATGTTAACATGATTGTTAAGTACAATAGGTTAGTCAAAAAAAAAATTAGCAGTTATGTACATTTAGTATTGTATTTTTTTTGCTCTAGCATGGTTTGATCTTTGATGCAACATAATATTGCTGAAATTATATTTGATTTTGAAACGATGGAGTTTTAAATGTATTTGGTGCGAATACAAATTTATCAAATGTTATAATATCAAATGAATGAGAACAAATTGTTAATGATAATAAAAATACTCAACAAGTTGGTCAAAATGTTCCACAATCACTATTAGATAATAATAATAATGTGCAACAATTAAATCATCTTGAATTAAACTCAAGAAGCAAAGAAAAACATTCGTTTATATATTTTTTTTTGATTGTTCTGTGTAATTATAAATATCTGTTAATCTTTCTCCTACATGTTGATGGAATTTGATCTAAGAATTTCGATATTTTAATAAAGAAAAGCTTAGAGTTTACAGGTCCCACTGGTTTGTATTTTTTCTTGACGTTTTGGAAGTCTGACTCTCGATGGACTATGATCAATAACCAGATAGGTTAATCTAAGTTGATTCTTGAAACTTGATGCACTGAGTGTTCCATACATCCATATTATTGTGTCAGAAAAGTATTAGTGTATAACCATATGTAGAAACGTTTACAATAAATTTATAGATTTTTAAGTGAAAAAGATTAAAAGATATTATATCTCACTGTTGATTTCATCGTTTTCTGTTCAATTTATATTTGGAATAACTTTCTTAGCTATAGTTTAGATATAATAAGACATCGAGACAAATAAATGATGTCTTTTAGCTTTGAAAAAATGAATTTTTTTTCTGTTACATAAAAACGTAGATAAAATGGTTCTCAATAGTGAATAAAAAGAGACGAAAAATTTCGGTCTAAAAATATAAAAATAAACAAACAAGATGATAATGTTTTCGTGCAAGATTGAAGAATTAAATGTTAAGATTTTTTCCGAAAAAATAAGAATAATCTTAGTGTAAATTTATCAGATTAAATCAGACCCAAATATCATACAGATGCTAAAACAAAATTCTTTTTTTCGTTACATTGTCTTGTAAAAGAGCAAATTTTAGCTTCATCAAAAATATTTAATTGGATTTTCTAAAGAAGTTGATTTCCTTTATTGATATGTGCTATATTGTAGATAACAATTCGAAAAATTTTCATTAAACTAAAGATGAGCACACGGTGTATATTCTGTTCGGTATTGTGTTCGGGTCACTCTTGCTTACAATGCAATCAAATGAATCGTAGTCAAAAATTTGCAAGGTTACTTCAGATGTTGGGACAATGTTCTGAAAGTATTGTTTATCATGATGAAATTGCTTCTGTCGTGCAACGAATTCGACAGGTTAGTCGACTACGGTTCCAATTAAATTATAAAGAAAATGTTATAGATTGAATCAATTATGGCACCAATTCAGTTCCATCCGAATCAAGTTTTCGATGAAACCAAACACATTGTAGATCCAATTGCTAAAAAATATCTTGAGAAAGCGACTAATGATGTACATCATCTTATTCCGGTCAAAGTTGCTGATGACGGAAACTGTTTATACCATTCAGTTCTTCTATTAATGAATAATCCAACGGTGACGACGGATGAATTGCGCGGTAAATATATTTATTTTTCGTTTATATCATTGTACAATCTATTTTAATATAATTTTTAGTTCGAACAATTATCGAACTTATGACAAATGAAACTTATTATGATAGCATGTATTCACAATTCATCGGATCTGTTGCATTTATTATCAAGGCCATGTGCAAAAATAATACATTTTCAGAATTGTATGAAATTAGTGCATTATCCAATGTACTTAAATGTAATATACGAAGTATCTATCCAAAAATTGATTTTCGAGAAGATATGAACATTTTGAATAACGTATTTACGCCTGCTCCACCTGTCATTGCCAACTGTAACATCGCAATTTTGTGGTCTCATGTCTTGAATGAAACAGATGCACGAGCTGCAAATAATGGCGCATGGAGTTCCAATCATTTTGTTCCTCTTCTATCATCAGCAATGCATTACACATCTGAACATGAAAATAAATCACCAACGTTTGCCGTAAGTTGTTTATCTGTAACTACTTCTCTGAAAATTTTTGAATTCTATTTAGACTCCTGAAAAGAAAACGTTTAAGAATAATACTCCTACTC